CCAGCCGGTCATGGGCCTCCTGGAACAGGCTCAAGCCAATGGCCACCTCCACTCTCATGCGCCATTCGGCCAGCTTGGGGCTGTTGAAGACGTTGTAGCTGGCCCCCATGGGCTGTGGACAGACAAGAAGGAAGGGGTGGTCAGCCTGGGACCGGCTCCACCTGAGTGGAGACTCCTACAGACTCCTACAGGGTCAGGGGGCCTCCCAATGTATCACCACAAAGAGTTAGTCTGCTGACCCCCAAGAGCTGGGCAGGGCACTCACAGACAATGTAATGAACGTGGGGTGGGGATGGGGGATCTGCAGGCTCCAGTGCTGTTGATTGCTGGGCCCATCCAATCCCTCATTACCCTCTCTGAGGTGATCCCTGCCCCGGGTGGCTCCCACTCCTCCAACCTGAAAGCTTCCATGGGTCCTGTCCTCCTCCTGGGAACTCCTTGTCCCCAGGGGAGGGGGAGGGGAGAAAGTCAGTTACTTCCCCTCCATGTTGACCCTCCCACTGTGGTCAGTCACAGGGGCTGCAATGGGAGTGCAGTAGGGGGCCTGCCCAGCAGTTGGGCTGTCTCCTTCAAAAAACATGCCCCTTTTGGAAAAAATCAAGGAAAGGTTTAGACATGGAAGGAAACTTGCTTTGTTGGTTACCAGGGATGAGAGGGGAGGGGAGGGGAGAGAACACTGCTAAATAGGTAGAGACAAGTATTGATTTGGGTGAAGGGAAGGAAAGGCAATGTACCAAAAGTGAGTGACCAACACAATAACCCTAAGGAAAAGGAAGACACAGAGGGGTACACAAGATGGACAGACAACAAAGTAAATCCTTTTACATACATAGTACTGCATTATCAGTGATAACAAACATTAATCTACAGGTAAATAGGTGGGTAGACAAGTTGAATGATCAAGTACGTCTAGGCAAAAGGGAATATACCCATGACCACATATAAGGCTGGCAGGTGATATTTCTACATATGTATTTGTACGTGCTGTAAGACTGTCCATGTAACTAGCACTAACGGGGAAGGTTATGAGAACTTCTTAGGCACAGTCAACCACCCTGATGGAGTGAGTTGTTGGACCTGTGGGCTTGGGACCATGGTTGCAGGGGACATCAAGTCAATTGGTGTAATACACTACACAAAACCATTGTTCTACATCCTACTTTGGCTCGTAGCGACTAGGGTCTTAAAAGCTTGCGTATGGCCATCTAGATGCAATGATGGATCTCTCCTCATCCAGAGCAAAGAAGAATGAAGAAAACTAAAGACACATGGAAACAATTAGTCCCAGGGACTAGTAAACCATGTGATCCTCAGCCTGTTGACCATGAGACCAGAAGAACTAGATGGTGCCCAGCTACCACTGTCAACCACTCAGAAAGGGATCATTGTAGGAGATCCTGCATAGCATGGGAGAACAAATAAAACTCAAAATCATAAAAAAGGATAAGGCTTACTGGTCTGATAGAGCCTGGGAGACCCCCAAGACTATGGCTAATAGCTCCCCTTCAGGTCTGGGACTGAACTCACTCCTGTGGCTTCCAGCCAAACAATAACCAAAAACCAAACTCACTACAGTTGATTCTAACTCATAGTGATCCCTTTGGGTTTCTGAGGCAGTAAATCTTTACAGAAGTGGGATGCCCACTCTGCCTTTTGTGGAGTGGTGGGGGGGTTTGAACCACCAACTTTCTGATTCACAGTCAAATGCCTTAGGCACTACGCCACCAGAGTTCCTTGGCCAAACAATAGACAGGCATATGGGGTGAACATTTACATCAGGTAGATACATTCCTTGGATCGATCAATCATGGGAGAACAGAAGGGCAGTGTTTGCACAGGGAGACAGCTCAGGGGGCAGAATGGATAGGAAAGAAGGACACAGGGAAGAGGTAACCACAGGGAGGAAGTGGGAAGAGAGCTGTTACACTAGTACATTGTTACATTGCAGTCAATGTCATGAAACAAAATGTGTATGAACTGCTGTGTGGAAAATGAATTTGCTCTGAACTTTCACTCAAATCACAATTTTTTTTTTCTAAAAAATGCTCCCAAGGGGGAAAAAAATGGTGGGGACCAGGTTTGCTGGTCCAATAGAGCCTGGTGGAACACTACCACTGAGACTATGGCCCCTAGCTGCCCTTCAGGTCTGGAATTGAACCCACATCTGTGGTTTCCAGCCAAACAAAGTACAGGCATGTGAGTTAAACATTTACCTCAAGTAGACACACACCCTGGAGAGAACAATCATGGGAGAAGGAAGGGCTGCTTATGCACAGGGAGACAGCTCAGGGGGCAGGAGAGTATGGAGGGATGGACACTGGGAAGAGGTAACTATGGGGAGGAAGTGGGAGGGGAGCTGTTGCATTGTGGTAAACTGTGGTCAATGACATGAGACAAAGTATATGTGAACTGCTGTATGGAAAGTGAATTTGCTCTGTAAATCTTCACCCAAATCACAATAAAATAAATAAATAAATAATAAAAAATGCTCCCAAGATATTCTGGAAGCTGGCAGGGGGTGAGGGGTGAAACGTAAGAGCTGCCCCAGTCTGACTGGCTGGAGTGGGTTTTCCTGGTGCTGGTCTGCCTCGCACACTGACCAGAGACAATGTTGACCTCAGAAGATACTGGTGGACTCTAAACTGGCCATCCTGCACACTAGCTAGGTCACCCTCCCCTGTACGTAGAAGCCAGGTGCAGCCCCCGGTGCCCCACTGATGGAGAACTGCTCTGCACAGTCATCTGCCGGGAGCTCTGGATGGAAAACAAGGCCAGAAGGACACTTTCAGAGGGTCCAGAGGGTCAGGAGGTGGCCCGCAATCTTGGCAGAATGACCGAGCATTGCCGGTGCCCTTCTCCCTACCCCAGGCTCACCTCCAGTTCCCCCTCACACTGAAGAGTCTTTGCAGGTACGGACAATCGTGACTCTTTACTCAAAACTCCTGCACCCCTATTGTCCCTGGTTGAGTCCAGGCACTCAAACTCAGCTCCACAGCCCCCACGTTGGACCTGCCTGCCTCTCCCAGGCCACCAGTCCATCCTCAGCTTCTGGCCTCCCTGGTCACCTCTGCCTAGGCTTTGTCCCCACCACCCCGCACCTGCATCATTGCCACCAGGGCCACCAAGTCGGCCAGGGAGATGTGGTCCCCTGTGATGAATAGCCTGTCCTGCAGGAACTTTTCCTCAAAGAGCTGAAGGCTGTTGTTCACTTCTTCCAGGATCTGCCCCGTCTTCTGGGCTGGCACCTCCTCTCCTGTGATCATTGGGATCAGCAACTGGCAGGGTGTGGGGTGGGAGGGGACAATCAGCGTGCACCCCAAGCCCTCTGCCCCTCCAGGCCCTGACATCTTTGTCTCCCAGATGGGTGTTGGGCAGTAACGGGGATGTCAGTTAGTTTCTCTTCAATTCTGATTGGTAGAAGCTGCTTGAGACCATGTGTTCACAAGGATTTTAAGGCCCGCCCCCTTCAGGAAATGATTCTGTGATTGATTAGAGATGTCTGCCACAGACATAGGTTAAGAAGTAGGAGTACATGTACTGTCTATTTGTCATCTTCAAATGTGGTGGTTTCTATGGCCCTTTTAAAGTGCTGTGGTGGTGCAGTGCCTAAGGCATTTGCTAACCAGAAGGTTGGAGGTTCAAACCCACCAGACACTCCACAGAAGGAAGACAGGGCAATCTCCTTCCGCCTCAGAAACCCAATGGGGGTCGGTATGAATCAGGATCAACTCAACGGCAGTGAGTTTGGTTTGGTTCTATGGGCCCTTTAAGGATGCCTGGTGGCCCAGTGTTTAAATGATCAGCTGCTAACCAGAAAGTCAGCAATTTGAACCCACAAACCACTCCATGGTAGAAAGATGTGGCAATCTGTTTCTGTGAAGAATGACAGCCCTGGAAACCCTCTGGGGCAGTTCTACTGTGTCCTACAGGGTCAGTATGAGATGGAATCAACTCGATAGCAGTGGGTTTTTTGGGCATGGGCCCTTTAAGGAACCCCAGTGGCAGCGTTTAAGAGCTTGATGCCAACCAAAAGGTTGGTGCAAACCCATTGGCTGCTCCACAGGACAAAGATGAGACAGTCTGCTTCTGTGAAGACTGACAGCTTGGGAAACCCTCTGGGGCAGTTCCACTCTGTCCTCTAGGGTCGCTGTGAGTGGAATTGACTCTACAGGGGTGAGTGTGGTTTGGGCTTTGCTTCTGTGAAGATTGACAGCCTTGGAGACCCTCTGGTGCAGTTCCACTCTGTCCTCTAGGGGCGCT